ATGGTTGTGCGTGAAAATCCCAGTAGATCAGCAGTTTCTGAAATACTCAGACCAGCCCTTCTGGCACCAACAATCATGCCACGTTGAAAGTCACTCAAATCACCTTTCTTCCCCATACTGATGCTCAGCTTGAACTGCAGGAGATTGTCTTGACCATGTCTACATGCCTAAATGCACTGAGTTAACGAGCAGTTGGACAGGTGTACCTAAAAAAGTGGCCGGTGAGTGTACTTGCCAGCTTTTTGAACAGTTGTGTTTGTTTCATTGTCCTCAACAAGATTTTTAACATGAAATGACTACCAACATGTTTTTTGGTATTGCATAGGTGACAAACACTCTTAGCAGCTGTAGATGGAAGCAGTACTTTGTTAGAACTTTTGCTTTTTATCCTCTGCAGTGCTTTTCATGTGGGAGCAGAATAGACGTTGTAACAAGAACATTAATAAAATATGCAGATTCATTTTTAATGATCCATTGCCCCCCTTTACTTAGAAACAGATTTTTGTGTCTGTGGTTGAGGGTTTATGCTGTTTTATGGATAGATACAAACAAAAGCACAATTATTTTGCCTTTGCAAAAGAAGGTTTTAGACCTGTATGAAACTGACATTATATGAATGATACAGTGAGATTATTGTCTTCTTTGTCTATTTCTGGAAGATAATCCTCATATAGGGATACATTGGACAAAAATGAGACAAAGAGTAAATTGCAGCCTAAAGCCTCTGGAACAAATTTAGCTTACAAAAATGTAATTCTCAGAAATAGTGCTGGGTGTGTACCTTTATTCAAGCTGAGATGATGCAAAATTTGTACAGTAAGTGCATTTTAAACCTATTTGTATAAACTCTTTAAATGTTTTTGTCAATCCCCTTAATTAACCCTGTTTCTTCTATTATGAATTTCAATATCTGATAGGAATCAGATTTGTTTTATAAGGTACAGTGCTGTAAAATAGAATTCACAAGTTTTCCTCATTTGTATACCTCAAAGCATTTAAATCATTCAAACCTTCAAAATGTTTTATATTGTATTAAGAGATCCTGACTAATTAAAAAATGTAGATTTTAAATAATGTTTTCCTTTATTAAAAAACCTAGCCCTGTGCTAATTGTAAATACCCCTCTTGTTAGATTATCAATAATTCAATAGTAAACAGATTTTTGTAAATCTTACTAATTCTGCTTTCATTTGCCTGACTACTGCCAGAAACTGTAGTATGGAAAAAGCTAAGAGATCTCAAATGCATCAGGTCAAATTCAGTGTCACAGAGGCGCTTCTATAACTTTGGGATCCCAGTAAACCACATTGATGGCTCCTTCCAGGATCTTTCACTATTCATCCTGAAGGTGACAAATGAACCCAGAACATCTAAAGTACTGTAAGTCTGACCTACCAATTGAAGTGTTCATAGTACAACAACAGGAAAGAAACTTGGCAAAAATTGCCTCCACGGAAAGCTTTCAAGATCAGAACCACTGATGATCCCCAAGAACATTTGGGTCGCATACTGGTGAAGGCTCTCAATCATCCAGGTCATAGTCATTCCAAAAAAATAAAAAACAATTCATTGGACTTGGTTTTCCAAGTTTGAAGACATTTTGCTTCCCATCCAGGAATCTTTTTCAATTAAAAATGTCAGGAATGGCGTGGAGTTTGAGGTTTTATACAATACTGTATTCCTGACATTTTGAATTGAAATTTGGGTCACATATACTTTTGAATGGTGAAACATTAGCGGAGGTTTTTAGGAAAGTGTATCTGGTTGCAACCGATGTAAAACTAGCACAGCATGGAAGAAGCGTGACATCATAAAGATAATCAAACATGGTTGGAGTGCTGTTGCTGTGTTTGTTGTAGTTCTGTGGATGTTCGGCTTCTTCGGGATCATAGTTAAAGAAAACAGGAATTTTGCTCCAGACATTTCCCTACTGCATACTTGGGATATGTAGGAAAGCAAAAATCCTAAGCATGCCAGTAAGCCATGCACCTTTTGGCTCAAAATGAATAAATGTATAATTTGCAGGACATTTATGTTGAAAAACAGTTAATGTATATGAATTGAAGAAAATCTGCAAAAAAAGAGAGGACTAAAATTCCTCCACAATAACATAAAAGTCCCAATGGCAAGAGTGGCTCCATTACGCACTTATTAGGTTTTGGGGGGAAATTACTTTCTCACACAGGGCCAGGTTGTTTAAGATAGCTTTTTGCACAATAAATGAAACAATTTAAAACTGCTTTTTTCCTCCTTGCAGATAGAAACTACAGATGAGATTTGTAAGGAGGCAAACACATTTCCACAGACAAGCAGATTTAGGAGAGAGAAAACAGGCACCAGAGGGGTGTAATGTGTTAATGGTTGCACACATACACACACATTTGCATACATCTCGGCAAACACACAGTGATCAGTGTTCTCACGTTCATCAGAGGGGTAAGAGTCAGTGTTCTCACTGCAGCAGGCTTCTCTTTCTCATTGCTCTATCCCTCTCTTTTGCTTTGTTCACGCTGTGCTCTCCATCTGAAGCAGCACCACACTGGAGCTTTAATGATCGGATTGAGAGCAACTGCAACGCACAGATCTCCCATCAGCCAAAAGAGGAGCAGGCAACTCTCAGCGGCTCAAGAAGCGACCAGGCAACTGCTGATCTACAGTCAGCTGAGACATAACTGACGGAGGCAAAAAGCATCTCAGAGCAAGGCGTAGGAAGAGGTTGAGAAGAGGCTTTCGGAGGCAAATCAAGAGAAGACTACTCCTGTGTGAAAGCTGACCTTCGGTGCACTCTGAAGAAGAAGGACCTGTCTTAAAGAGGCTCGACCATGGAGGAGACGCTCACCTGCAGTCGAAGTCCTTTCTCTCAGGTGTTTGGGCGGCAGGGTCAGCTCATGCAAGCCAGTAAGTGTTGATATTCAGAGAACATGTGCAAAACCAAGTGGAAGTGTTATGTAATAGAGGTGTTTAGGAACGGTTAAGTCTGTCCCACTTTCTACTAGAAAAAAAAAAACATATTTTTTTCTCTTTTATAACCTTTTGGTGGATTCGTGAATATATTTAATTTTCTTATTTTTATTTCAGTGTGAAATCATCATACAGAATCTTTTTCCAGTTAAGCAGCAGTTTCCTCAGATGCTCTGATCTCACCAGAGTAACATGGTGTGGCATGATGATGTGTTAATGCTGATGGGCTTTGAGAGAGATGTCAGGTGTGAACATGTGTGCGCTGGCGGATCGTGTGCTCACTCTCTCCTGACTGTGATCCTTTGATCTCCCCCAGGTTGTGCATGCCACAGGTCTGGCATTAGGCAGGGGGGAAAATACAGGACATTAAGTAGAGGTGTGGAATAATACACTTGTATGACACATTCAAGCTTAATGCATCCTCAGTACTTTTGATTTTTTTATTTCGTTGAGCTGGGGAGGTGTCTCATTTATTTACCAGGGTTAATATCTATATCCTTGCAGAAGACAGAGTTTCTTGTACAACAGCTCAGTGATTTGATAAAACCGAAAATAATTAGATAAGATATTTGCTGTGCCTTCCAAAAAAAATGGATGCCCTTTTTGACATGTTTTCACACCTGCAAAGTTCAATATAATATATTGGGATTTAATGTAATGGAGTAGAACATTCTTGTTTGGTGGTAGAAAACATTTTGCAAATTTAATGGGAGAAGCTTTGCATATCTATGAATCAGGGACCCTTCATCTATTTCTTGTAGAAACCACTTTTGGGACATGCCAGCTTTGGTCAGTCCAACCAAATGGAGAGTTTTCATGAGAAGCAGTTTTTTTAATAATTGCCCCAGTTATGTGTTATGTTTAGTACTGTTTTCAACTAAGTATCTACTGCTTTGTATGTTTTTATTCATTTCCTTCCAGTGATTTCATTCATTTATCTACGTCCATTTCCACATTAGCTATGACCAGCTTCCCTCTCATTGCCATTTTCCCTACAGCACAATGCTCATAGTAACATCCATGGGTGTTACTATCATAATGGTGTGATTAGGGGATATACACTGTTCCTTTCCAACACTTTAACCTAGTATGAATACAGCAAGCAAGTAAGGACTCTTTGGGCAGAGTCAAATAATGGAGGTAGGAAAAGGCACTCAATATTCTTTCAGTCATATGTACAGTATGGGTTAATGAGGTATAAGGAATCCCACAGTCCCTATATGAACACAGTCAACCTCTTGGAAAATAACAAAAATACATTATTGCTTTGCATGCACTGTTTATAACATAAAAATGTATACAACTTCATTAGTTTTGGTTTGTGTAATGAGGAGCTTTAGGAGTGCACTACATTTGGGTTACTTGTGTTTTCTTGTTGTTCTTTTTCAGAAGGCTGTAGTTCCACAATATGAGTTCTGTTGCATAATGATGTTTGAAAGGCTAAATGCCGTCCACATATGGCACAGCAGTCTAGATTTCCTTACCTACCCACAATCGTGTCCTTGTCCTCATAAAAATGGTGAAGGAACAGAAGCAAGGGTCTCCAATTTGCCGTCTTTGGATTTAGCCTTTTATGGTGAGTTCACACCAAAAGCATTCTTGCCATCTGGGCATTTAATTCACAAGCAAATTATATGGGGGTTAGTGTTAAGCAGTGTTGAAAGCAGCACGCCCTGGCGTCCCAGCAGTGGGCATTCAGAAATTGGAACTTTTCCAGCTTGACGCAAGCGTAGGGAAAATCAATATGTAAAATGGGGTTTCACTCCACAGGTTTTAAAAAGCCAGGAGAATGTTTTTTTTTTTATGTAGAAGGATAAGAGAATGCTCTCGTCATTATTAGAATTTTCTTACTTTACTATGGCAAAAGAGTTTATGAAAAATGTTTATATTAACACTCAGCTGCAATGGCAGCCACAAATCGTTAACAGTCAAGTTCAGAGAGCTTTCACTGGTTACTCCTAGTGCCTGCTGGTCTCCCACTCGAAAAAGAACAAAATATTTAAGTAAGATCATAATCCTGATGAATTGACTCCACAGAGACTCCACAAGATTTGAGATGGATTTACTCGCTTAAAAAACGTTCAACTTTTTTTTCTCCAACTCATTAATGTAAATAAAGCCTCCAGAACGTCTTATCTCAAAATGCACAAGTGTCCATGTTGAGGTGTTGAAAATCATTTTGATCTTTAAAGCTACGGTGTGTAATACCTTGAATGGATTTACTGAAGATATGTAACATTTTATACATAAGTAAAATTAGGATTATTTATATCAGACCACGTAGGAATGGACCAAAATAATTTTCCAGATGTTTACCTCAATTATTTCTCTCCAGCTTTTTGTAGAGCTCCAATCATCCCGCTAGCATCACCTCTTCTCCTTGGGTGCACAGCATCTTTCCCACCGAGCGACAGTTGGTTGAAAAGACATTGAAAAGATGACAACGTCTACATTTAGTTAAGAAGTAAAAGGTTAAAAGCTGTAGTTTTCAGATTGTTGAAAAGATGTTGAGACTTTGGGTTTGCAGTGCCCTTTCAATGTCTATTATATGACTAAAGTAGGACAAACAGAGAATGACCAAAACCGCCTAATGTTCAAGAACTATTGCTGGACTAAATCAAGACAATGTCAGACGGACCAGATTTAGCCTAAAAACCAACGTCGATATGAGGTCTGATGTTTGCGGGTTGGCTCTTTTCTTGCCCTCTTCCTCTCTCCTTTCGTCATGTAATAACCCCTATGCCATAGACTTACTCCTAAACTGGAAAATATATGATTTCAACCAACACAATCTCACTATTAAAACAACCAACAAATAACTGGTATGTTTGCTTCCTTGCTCTCAGATCTGATGCTTCTCTCCCAGATATATTTTCTTCTGGTTTACTTCCTTCTCTCCGTGTGCACACCAGTCTCTACTCGAGTCAGAGATACGTTTGTAAACCCATTAGCTCTGCTTGTGGATTTTCTCGTTCTCTCTGTTATTGGAGTTGGATCATTGCCTATCAACATTTCCAGCCAATAGAACAACAGCGTCGAAAAAGGTGTGTGTTGTTTTCTTCTTCTGTGTTTGCCTGTTACTGCTTACCGATAATAAAATCATATCCCCACATTTTGTTTAAAATATCCAATAAAAGAGCGGGGCTTGCTTTACAAAACAATAGGCTACATCAGAGGTCACGGATTAGCCGACCGTGGTCCGTATCCGGACCCACCTGCTGGCTAATCTGGACCCAACCTGATATAAGACATTTATAAATTACCTCATGTTGTCTGACGGCAGTGTCTAATTTCACTTGCGCCGCTTCTCCTGTTTGTACAGCAAAATCCTCCGGGACCAGGCAACACGTGATCCATATTAGCCAATGAGCTGTGTAGGTCAGGGCTGTTGTTAGCTACTTTTAGACACAGCAGGCAAACCTGGCAAGCCGGGCGATGCGTAACAATGATGAGAAAACGTGAAAGAAACTGTAGACTGCTGGAAGAAGCTCAGCGATCTGGTTACAGAAAAGTGAAATGGCGTGCTCTGGAGTCTCCACCATGAACAAAATCAAAAAATAAATATCGATCCAGGCTCACGAAGGAGCACCTTGATATGTGCTTTAGAATGGCTTTGTCGCCAATCAGACCCAGGTTTAAAACCTTGCAGGTCAGCCTAAGGCCAACTTCTCTCATTAAGCCATAAAAAAAGAAAAAACAAACAAATGGTCAGTTCAGGTGTTATAAATATAAGAATCAGGAAATTGTCTATGCACCAAACCGAACGACTGATATTTTCTACTTCAAAAAACACTTTAGATTTCGAAATGGAAAAATTTTCAATTTTTTTTATATATTGTTTTATTTAAAAATGTATCAATGTATAACATGGATGCAAAAAAAAACTCATTTTATTTCAGTGTTAAATTATGTTTAAAGTAACAGATTTTAATTAAAAATGGCTCTGGACATTTACTGGTTGTTGATTTTCTTTGTTCGGACCCCAGAGATATGTGATTGGTCACCCCTGGTCTACATGATTGGTCAAAAATTAACAGTTTCTCAGTGTTGTTTGTTGCCGTATTGGTTACCTTCAAATATGGCAGGTATAGTGATAGTGTCACCCACCAATCACGAAAATGATCCACATTTGGCGTGTGGGTTGGTGCCAATTTCCTTCCTTGACTCTTAGCATATCAACAGATTTTTTCATGGAGCCATCTTTGTAGCTATTGCAGCGCCCTTCAGTTTTCTTATAATATCTCAGTGCTCGATGGTGGAACAGTTGCTAGCACTGTTGCTTTGCAGCAATACGCTCCTTTGTTTTAAATGTGGCCAGGTCTTTATCCTCAAAGGGTTTGGCTATATTCTCTGGGTAAACCTCCTTTCTCCCACAATCAAAAATTCTACATTTCCCGTGTTAATGTGTGCATGATAATCTGTACTAAGTCTGCTGGGTTCCATGGTCTTCACTAATATTTTTTAACAATCTTCTAATGCTGCGTTCACAGTGAAACTGAGCACACAATTTAAACGTTATGCCTATTGAAAGTGTGCAAAGAGACTGAATTGGATGTTATTTTAGACTATCAGACTTCAGGCTCCTTGATTTGTATACACGCATGACAGTATTTAAATAGTTTTTTAATAAAGAACCCCTTCATTTCATTTCAAAAATATTTTTCTACCTAATGCCGTCTATCACACATAATCTCATGGAATTAAATGAAAGTTGGTAACTGAATTTCACAAGAAATAAAAAAAATCTTAATTTACCATGATCGCTCTTGCACCATACATACTCTAATGTTTCACTCGATATGTTATACATTTAAAATGCATACTGACTTGTTGAAACTCAGCTCTTTTTATATTTGTGCACTTTCTAAAACTTAAGCACTCTTCTGTTTAGTTTAGAAAAAATGTTGGGTGTTAGGTGCCTTAGTAAAGAATAAAAA